GATTAGAAGTACAATGATTTGAAATATGTATTGCAATTTTTGATTAAAATTTGCTTTATGTAATTTAAATTAACAATAATTTTATGAAAAGTATCTAAGTTGTCTAATCTAAGTCTTTAATTTTTGTTATAATTTTTATAATTGTTTATATTAGATTAGATTGTTTAAAACTTAGTTGTTTAGTAGTCCACTAATTTTTTATCTCTATTTTTAAAATATATAATTAATGTAAAAATACTTTCATTTATATTAATTTTATTAATTTTATGTTAAAAAACGTTTACTATTATATTAACAAGCTTTACAATTATGTATTGCTTGACATTCATTTATCCAGGAATGATACAACCAATGCCACAAGTTTAATGATATTGGATAAATACTAGGAGAGTATAAAGTTGGATTGGTTTCAATCTGTTATTGAATTGTTTGTGAATGGGATAATGTGTACATGTTTTATTGTGAGATATATAGTTTTGCAAATTACCTATTGAGAAATACTTCATCCTGAGATTATTTGTTTGTGCAATGCATGTATCATTAGATTATCCTAGAAAATATTATATCTGTTAAAGCTCATAACATTTAATTAAATATACAAAGACATTTTTTTAAATAATTTGTTAATAAATACAATAATTTTAAAAAAAATATTGAAAAATATTTCTAAAATATTTTCTAGGACACTCTAACAAAAAGATTAAAATGGAATATGAATACAAAACTGGATGCAAACATCTTTTTGCATTTACATAGAGTGTTAATGTATTCGTGGGCGATTTTTGAAGAGATTTTAGACTAAACAAACATGAAAGTTGGTATGCAAAAATTTCGATCGACTCATCAATCAATTTTGCATTATATTAAAATGGAGATGGAATGAGATATATTAAAAAAGGAAAATTCTTGAACAAAAAAAAAAAAAAAAAAATAATGAAATTCATAAATTTTTTAAATTTTAGGAATCATAAGAATATATTTTTATTTTCATTTAAATTATCTCGCAATTCATTTCCATCTTGCTTTCTCTAAATAATTAAATTGTTTATAACTTAATAATTATCGATCGATATTTTTGAATAGCACTTTTTATATTTATTTCATTTAAAGATCGATCATTCGATATATCAACACCCTGTATACAAGTATAAATGTGTAAAAGATGTTCATTTTAATTAATTTTTTGATTAACTGCATACGAATATATCATAGAAACGATGAATGATATTAAAAATGATGATTTGAAATAGAATTGCTTTGTTTCAAAGTGGATCCTTTTTTCAAAGAATAGAATTTTTCTTCCTAACGCATCACAAGGATATCTTTCTTTGCTTTGTTAAATGTCATATGCTCTTTTAACTGTACCATAGCTCAAGGCTATCGAGAGATAGCCTCTAATGCTTCAGTCATCCTGTTCATTCAATCATTTCTTTTCATCTAACTATGTCAAAGGAGGAAGTGAAATTATTTCTCTGAACACAACGTAAGGGATGACTTTCTTTATAATCATCAAAATGACATTGATAAATTGACATTTGTGAATTTTAACAGAGAATTGTATTATTTTTATAAAGCAAATATTGTAATTTTAAATTACAAATATACGTTATAAATATTATATTCTTTCAAATTATCCTTGAATTGAATAGAAATTAAATTAAAAACACGTAAACGGAGAATATTTTCAAATTGAAATTTTGAAGAAAAAAATTGCTTATCTCAAAATAATCTTCCTCGAAACAAAGCAAGCAAGTTTCAAGAATATTCGTAGGCTTGATTGAAAGTCAAAATTTCCTCAAACTTTTTAAAAATTATATTAAACGAGAGAATGATATTCAAATTCTTTGTTAAACAATATTTTTACAAATCAAAATTTTTTCATCTACATTTTTTTAATAATGTAAATATCATCTTCTTGTTATTAAATGAAATTTTGAAACGATAATTTTAAATGTTAATAATTTTGATTTTAAATAATTCTTCTTAAACAATTATAGATACGTTATAAAAATATTTCAAAAAAATTATATAATGCCTTTGAACGTTTAATTAACAATGAATATTTAAATTGCAATCCATCTTTTTGGAAATCTAGCTTTGCTTGAACGAGTAAATTTCTTAGAGTGAAGATCTTTAAGTAAATGTAAAGCTTCTCTGCTTAATTTTCTGTGTATTTTGGATTGAAATAATAGTAAACGAAGAAAAAATGCAGTAAAAATCCAAAAAAGGCCAACTGAGATAATGAGTGTACAAATATTGTTCCCCAAATTTTCTGCCTAAATGAGCACGAATAATCTGTTATAATTGGTAATATGAATCTTCTGTTTTCTAATATCATGTTTTGGGAAACGAAAATTTACATATTCTCTCTAATAATGGAATATGAACAAAATGGAATATGATACAATTAAATATAGTTGTTTTTACATATATTTAGTTTTTTTTGTAAAATTTATTATAATTATTATAATTCTAATAAAAAATATTTAAAAAGAATAATTTAACTTAGAAAAATGCAGATGGAAAATTTTGTTTCCAATAAAAATTATACAGATTTAAATATATATTTTCTTGAAATCTTTTATAAAGTTCAAGGAACGTTTAAAAATGTGATAATATTTACATGTACATTGTGCATGTAAATGAATGTACAAAGTGACTTGTAACATGAAACATCCACTTCAATGGAGGATAGAAAAAGTAAAAATATAACATTTTTCCTGAATTGCTATTTTCTAAGAGAACACAAAAGATGTGTTATCAAATTCAAAATTGCTCACTTTCTTCTAAGTTTCTAATTTTTCAAGAATTCTAAGTACTTATAAATATTCCATAATACTTGATATTCTCAGAATTTTATTAGAAAACAAAACAATATTTCAACAAAACAATATAATCTTAAAAAATCTTTTCTATTTATTATATAAAAAGTATCTTTAGTGAAATTAAATATTACAATATTATATAAATGAGAATTGTATTATTATTAACAACAAGTTAAAATCATAAATATCATTACATAATTATATATAATTATTAATACCAATTTGACTACATAATTTTAATTCTGATAATTTCTAATAATTCCAATAAAATTCTGTACACTATTATTATATTACATACTATTATTATATGAATATTTATCATCAATAATATATATCTTATTATAAATCTCTTCCATTCAAAATGAATCTCACATGTTATAAGACACCTTATAAGTATAGACTTAAAAGACCTAGAAAACATAATTTAAATCGCTTCATGTGGTCTTATTATGCTGCATTAATATATTATGCGTATCAGTCTGGAGAGAATTTAAATTATACCGTGTATATATATATATATATATGTATATATGTATATATACTTACCAGGTGGTCCTGGTGGACCAGGGGGTCCTTCGAATACTCCAGTTGCAAATGGTTCCCCGTTCAAAGACGTTGTTATACCTCGGTCGCCTCTATCACCCTTGTCACCCTGCCGAGAATAACGTTGCTTCAATTAATGGACGTCTTGGAAGGAGATTAACGAGTTTGATAGGGAATCTGGTCGGGACATTTGATGTTGATATATATCATTTTTAATTTTAAAAAATGCTAATTATTGGGAGATTGTATTTTAGAATGGTGAATGTTTGAAATATTATGGAACATTTATATATGATATTTATTGTTTTTGAAAATATTGTAGAAATATTACATTGTATTTTTTTTTGAAATATAAATAT